AAGATCTTCAGGTCAGGGAAGGACTCTGCACCCTATGATGGGCCTCGCACTGCAAGTAAAAAAGATAAAAGAAGACAAACAAGATAGATTTAAAGGTTAAAAATAGGGATTTATGTGTAGATGTGGATGTGTTTGAGTTCAGATGGGATCTACAACTACATGAAGAAGCAGAGTGGCCCGGACTCAGTCCACCTGAAGAGTAAAGAAGACCTCCAGAACTTTGTCAATAACTATGATGCCAGCATTGTTGGTATGCCTGCTGTTACAGCATCTCATCTTGGACTCCTTCCTGCTGCAGGGCTCATGTGGTTGGTGTTATGTTTTTTTTTTTTTTCTGTGCTTCAGGTGTTTTCTCAGGGACTGATGCTCCACGTCTGGCTGAGTTTCTGAACGGCGCCAGTCTGTTGAGAGAACAGTTCAGATTTGCTCACATCACTGATCTACAGATCGCTGACGAGCACACTCAAAATGAGTGGGTTTTTTAGACAAATCATTTGCAGAAGTAAATCATCTCATTTGGTTCTTTTTACATTGCTTTGTTTTTGTTTTTTTTTGTTTTTTTTCAGGAGTGTCCTACTCTTCAGACCTCCAAGACTGTCCAACGCCTTTGAGGACAGTGTGGTGGTCTTCAAAGATTATCTGACCATCAGCTCTCTGAGACGCTTCATCAGAGATCACATGTGAGATATTTTCCATCTCACAACCTAAAGAGGAAATTGTTTTTTTGTTTTTTTTACTTTGTCTAATTCTTTTTTTTTGTCCGTGCTCAGCTATGGTCTGTGTCCTCACATGACGGTGGAGAACAGGGATCGCCTTCGGGTTCGCGACTTACTCACAGCGTACTATGACGTAGACTATCATCACAATGTCAGAGGGTCCAACTACTGGAGGAACAGGTGAAGCGCCTTCATATTAGCAGCACACTAATATAATGGTTGTGTTTTCTGGGGGGAGAAAGGAGGATAAATAATCCACCTTCAAAGTAACTTCTGCTTTGTAGTCAGGTTTAGAGAGAATCCCTCATCTAAAGCACCCCTGGTTCAGGTTTTTAATGGTAACATTCTTATTGCTTAGCAGGTTTGTATTATGAGCTCCATTAGTTTGATCAGTGAATGGCAGATCAGATGTTCAGAATTTTCTTTGATGGAAAATTTGATGGACGGATGGATTTAATGAGCTGTTTAAGTTTACACAAAAATACGAGAAAATATAATTAACTGGTGCAACATAAGTTTTAAAAAAGAATGTTTTATAGTTTTGAAAGTTGTATTCAGCCCTCTCTCTTTTTGTGCCTGTTGCCAGGGTGATGAAAGTAGCATCCAAATACGTTGGGCGTGGCCTGATGTTCTCAGTAGCCAATAAGAGAGACTTCCAGGCCGAGCTGGAGGATGACTACGGCCTGGGAACGTCAGACGGAGGCGAGCTGCCATTCGTCACCATCCGGACCAAGCTGGGCCACAAGTACACCATGAGGGAAGAATTCACGTAGGTAACATGGCCGCACTAGGCTACGTGCTGCTGCATTAGGTTAAAACAGGACAAATCGGGGTCCTCTTCCTGTGCTGCTGGTGAGCGTGACCGTGTTTGTTTCAGGAGGGACGGTCAGTCACTAGAGAGGTTCCTGGAGGATTATTTTGCAGGTCGTCTCAAGCGTTACATCAGATCAGAACCAGTACCTGAGAAGAACACTGCTCCTGTGAAGGTAAGATGGAGGTGACGGTGTAGCAGCAGTTTGATATGTTTGGTGGAATGATGAGAAAGACCAGCAGCTGGACTCTGGTTCTGCTATAACTTAAGTCATCTGTCGGTGTTGTTTAATGCAGGTAGTTGTTGCAGAGTCGTTTGATGACGTCGTTAACGACCCAGATAAGGACGTTCTGATTCAGTTTTACTCTCCATCGTGTCCACACTGCAAGAAGCTGGAACCAGTTTACAGAGAGCTGGCAGAAATGGTACAAAATTTTAGTTTATTGCATAATTGAATAGCTTAAAAAACCCCATCATGACAAATATAAACAAGTACGGAGTCTACAGGTATGTAGAAGTATTTATACCCGTGTCAGATTTGGACTTAAGATTAATTTAATTCATTCAAGAATTGTCTTTTCTGACAAGAAATGAGATGGGCATTAATCCAAAAATAATCTTTTGCTCCTTCTACAGTTTCTTTTAGAGTCAAGTTGGAATTATGGCTTAGTGGCTTTAAAACATAAAAATTACTTCTACTCAGAAAAAACATGATCTTCCGTTAAAACATTACAACACTAAATCTACTAAAATTATTGGCCCTTTGTCTTGTCTGAAAAATAAACATACTTTTAACTTTTTTAGCTTTTTTTAAAATTATAAATCATTATTGGGCTTAACCATATAAACTATTTTTCAGTTTAAACAAATAGCATTTATGGGCCTCTTATTATGTATTCACAGTTCCTCAGATACTGAAGTCTTCTTTATCTGTTTCCTCAGTTGTATTCTGACCCAAACACCGTTATCGCCAAGATGAACGCCGTCGCTAACGACGTCCCATTAGGATACGATGTCCAAGGGTGAGGATTGAACTTTTATGGTTCCTAGCAGATTTTTTTTTTTATTCTCTATGAAATATTTCAAATTTTTCTACTTCAAATCAATAATGGGATATTTTAGCTCTTTGACGCTAGTCAGATCCTTGGGGCTTTCATTTTCTGAACTTTTCACAGGATTGCCCTGTTTTTGTATTTATTTTCAAATATCTTCTCTGAAGTTTCTTTCTTTTTTCTATTTTTTTTTTCCTTTTCCTTACTGTTTTGGTAATAAGACAAGAGCATCCAGAGGATGCAGGAGGGTCATTTTTGCTCTTTTCCTTTTTTAAGCGCGTCACAAGCGTCAGAAGCTCATGAGGCACTGCTTCAGCTGCTCAGATGCATCGGGATGTGCAGGTCCTCCTGCTCTAGAGGCGTTGCAGGACCTTTTAATGGGCCTTAATGCGCATCAACCATAGACTTTGCATGTAAAGCGGCTGCTTCTGCTGCCCAAAGTGTGTTAGGTTCGAACGTTGCAAAAGACAAAGAGAGTAGACTGCATCCTTTTTGCTTGTTTTATTGCTCTTGATTCAACACTTTGTTGTGCCCCCTTTGTCTCTGTCAGCTTCGCTCATCTACAGACTAAATAGACATTCAGACTTCTTAAGTTTGCTGATGATTAGCATATCACTTCTAGTCACAGATTTGTTATTGGTTTTAGGTCTAGACTTTGACTAGGCCATTCTAACACAAGAACATCCTTTGGTTATATGTTTGGAGTCTTTATCCTGTCGAAAAAGGGAACCTTCTGTCCCTTCTTTTAACCTGTTACTGTTTAATAAGCTCCATCTATCCTCCCATCAGTTGGAACCACTTTCCCTTGCTTAAATAATGGCACACCATAGTGCACACTGATGATTTTAGGGTCCAGCCTTTTCCATGTGCGTCAAATAGGTTTATTAAAAACTCCCCTGACCAGTGCGCCTTCAGCCACAGGCTTGTTGGTAAACTTTCAATGGGGCTTTTTATAGCATTCTGCCAGCAATATCTTAAATTTGCCCTCTCTTCTATAAATGTATTTGAATGTAGCTCTATCATGTATAACCCCAGTAAAAAGAGTTTATGGTTGTGAAGATAGTTATTTGTTTTACCCTCTTTTGCTTTCCTTCCAGGTTTCCCACCATTTATTTTGCTCCTGTGGGTAAAAAAGACGATCCTGTTCGATACCAGGTACCTCACAGCCAGTCCAGCTTCAGATGCTTTAGAACAGCAGGTTGTCACATGAAGTCTGATGGCGTCTCTGGCTTCTTTTCAGGGCACTCGGGAGCTGAAGGACTTCTTGAAGTTTCTGAAACGTGAGGCGAGTCATAATCTGGTGATTCCTGGGTTTAAGGATGAACTGTGACACTTGTTCACTCATGGATCTTAAGCTAGAGAAAATAAGAAAGACACATAAAGGGGAGAACCCTCTCCTACTCTTTTGGATGGACAAGGTGCAGAATCAGTCTGAGTTTACACAAACAGGTGTCCATAACACAGACTGAATCCTCTCAGATTTTTATTTAAACTCGAAATATCCAAATGAAGTGCTCCATTGCCTCACTAGATTATTTATTCATTTGATTAATTTATTTATTTAATGAACGACCTTAAATGCATTGGGTTTATTTATTTGTATCTTTATGCAAAGCTGTTATGCATATGTTATATTTCTTTATCTTGTGTAAATTGTATATGGTGCTTTATTGTTTTTTATTTGTATTTAATGAGAGATTCTAAGCTTTGTGACAAACTCATAGAACTGGAATCTGTTCTGAGCCTTCTTACTTGCAGTGAAACTCTGCTGGGACTGTTTAATAAAATATTAACTTGCATCATACTGTTAATTTGCAGTTTGTGTAGTTCTGATGGTGATGCCTAAGCTTGCTTGAAAATCAAATAATTATTTTTTTGGATGCAAAGATAAAGTCCCTTTTTACATATATTTTGTTTCACCCTGCAATTCCTAAATGTTGACTTACTTTAGTATCTGTTGGCACTAAAAATTGACTATATTAATACTGCAACAAAATGTTTTTCAGATAATGAATCACTGGGAATACATTTTATTTTCCTGGAGTATTTCAGAACAATGTGATACTCTGATGCCATAAAGATTGAAGACTACAAATCAATGCATATATTAAATGTGAATGAGAGTGTTTGGATTGATGGGTTGTGAAGTATGTTCCTCCTTAAGTACTGTGTAATTTTTATTAGTGAAAATGCTGCGAGGAATCAAATGTTAAAAAAAAATCTATATATACATCTTAATTTGCTATACATTTAAATAATAACGTGAATATTGTAATATAAACATTGGTGGAATCTAAAAGGGGTTTGTTCGATTTCTTTTTCCTTAAAAGGTGGATTGCTTACTGAATACATTTCATTCACTCTATTGGTTGAAGAACATGTCAATCAAAAACAATCTCTTCTCTGATTGGCCACATTTCGGCTAGAGTTCATTCCCTTTCGTCTGAGCCCTCCCTCTCGCCGCACCACCCAGAACCTTCCAAGCTGCTGCTCCCCGGTGCACGTTGTCAAAAATGATCGGCCAGCAAGTTTTAGTGCTCAGTAAGTACAGAAAATAATCTAAAGAAACACTTTTAACATCTAATTTTGAGTGTAGAAGCGCTGGTGTTCCGGTTTGGTCTGCTTTTTGCCATTAACTTTCAGAACGGAGCTGCTGAAACACAAAGCGGCTAAGCACCATGTGCTAATAAGGCTATTGCATTTTGCATCAGGGCGCTACTTCCTCAGACCGGTATAGTTAGCATTATTAGCTCGTGCTAAACCATCGCTGTGTGTGCTAACATCTCCACCCAGCCGGTGTTAGCATCTTAAACTCATACGCAAAGAAAAGCGCGTGAGAGATGCTAATAGCCGCTAGCTGTCACCGTTACTCGGCATTAACATGCGGTTTAAGCTCAAACAGAAAACATATTTTTAACTTGTTTATTTAAAACTGTACGTTAAACATGGATTTGATTTATGGGCCTTTTCATATATATAACATACTCACGTAATAGAGTAAATGTCTGAGCTGCTAACTTCGTATTTCAAATCGTTGTGTATTATTTTACTGGATTATATCGAGTATTAGCATCATTACATTTTGATATTTTAGCTAATTTATTCTTGTATATTTGATTAGCACAGGAAGCCTTGCATTTTAAGCCCAAGTGTTACATGGTTATTATTATTAAAGGATTCGATTAATATGTTCAAGAAATTTGTCAAATTGATATTGTCAGTTGGATGCAGAGACCTTCATATGATTTACAGTTTTTATTAATGGGACCATGAGTTTGGTTTCAAGCTGTTGTGTAAATCTCAACATGTATGAATTTAAAATTCATACATGTTGAGATTTATGGCTGAAGCTCATTTTAGTTTGATGTTCATGCTGCTGTGAGCATTTCTAAGCTGTTGAATGTGATTGTCTTGGAAAGGCTGTTTTATTCTGAGACATAAGACGCTTAAAAATAGCTCCATCACTGACACTTTCTGACGTTCTTATTAAAACACTCCTAACGTGAGGCAATACTATTTTTTCTCTTTTTAATGTTTAGATTTTATATCAGTATCTACACAAAGGAAGCATGTAAAACAGGGTTAATATTGTCAGTATACCGCAGTTGCTTTGAAAGGTCATATTTAATGTTTCTGTTGTGTGATTATAATTGCTTTTACAAAACCTTTAAGATTTAATTTAGGTTTCAGTCATATCTTGGAACAGATGTTTTTTTTTCCTAACACCACATCATCCATTAACTTTTCCTCTATTTACGTCCTTCCTTCCAGACCAGAACGTGAAAAGAGAGTCGGGGCGTAAAGTCCAGACAGGAAACATCAATGCTGCAAAGGTAGGCTTCTACTTTTCTTCTTCCCGCATCCTAAAAGACATACTTGTTAATTGGTGTCAGTCAACTGTAGAAACCTGAAGTGAACCAAATAAAACAGTTTGATTGGGCAGGAATTTAGCAGGAATATAAAAAAGCAGAAAAGTCATCATATCAACAACCGTAATGGTGCACCTTGCATATCATTTCTCAGTTACTAAACTGGACATTAAACAGACATAAAAATATATCTGTTGGTATGTGGTCACCTCCCTAACATCCCAATTCATTTCAGAACATCGCAGATGTGATCAGAACCTGTCTTGGCCCACGGGCCATGATGAAGGTGAGTTTGCTCCATCATGCTCAATGCATCTGGTCCCAGCACAACAATTCTCTTCTCCATGTCAGTGATTCATCTTATGTTTTCCTCTTTACAGATGTTACTGGACCCAACCGGGGGAATCGTCATGACAAATGACGGTAATGCCATCCTCCGAGAGGTTAGAATCATCAACAAGTTTCTTATTTTGGATCATCTAGAATTGTCCATAGATATTAGCTTGGCTTCGATTTCTTCCTAACGTACATCTCCATGGCAACAGATTCAGGTGCAGCATCCTGCAGCCAAGTCCATGATTGAGATCAGCCGTACACAGGATGAAGAGGTGGGAGACGGGACCACCTCAGTCATCATCCTAGGTAAGTTTAGTTTATGCAGAGACTAGTCCTTAGAAATAAAATTGATGATCCAGAATCTTTTTTTGTGCCTCAGCTGGAGAGATGTTGGCTATAGCAGAACAGTTTCTGGAGCAGCAGATGCACCCAACAGTGATCATCAGCGCCTACAGGCAGGCTCTGGAGGACATGCTGGTAACTCTGAAGGAAATCAGGTAGAGTCTGACTATGGAATAACTGGTATCCCTATACTGTGCCATAGTGCCAAAAAGTTTTGACCTAGCTAAAGTTTTGTTTATTCAAGTTTCCACACAATTTTCACAAATGGCATCACCATTTCTCTCTCTGTGGTCTACACCTGATCTTTAATGGATTATTTAACAGCATAATTGTTAGTTGCAGCCTAAAGGCCATTTTAACAACAGTATGTAGAAAAATCTAGATACATGTAGCCTGTCTGATATGGGGTTGGACAATACTGCCATATCAACATAAATAGCAATATGATAACTGTGATTTGGCATTTCTTATATTTTTGCCTATGATTGCAGCATTTTTCTGACTTTCAGGTTTTGAGAAGTTCTGTTGTGTTTTTTGTTTTAGTTTTTTTTAAGAAACTTTTCCTAAAATGTTACATTGGAAGACATTTATTTACATGGTCAAATAACTATCATCAGTTTACATGGGGGTCTTTTGTGGGAATTCTCAACCATCTCTCTGATGTTCCAGAGCCAAACAGCTTTGTTTACGGATGTTGCTATAAGGTTTCATTTTGTAATTATTCTTGATTAGAAATGATTTATGGAATAAAATTGTATGCAATGGAAACGGAGTTGAAGAGGGAAGGAGATAAGAATTAAGATGATAGAAATAGAGAGAAAAAAAACAAAAAAAAAAAACATTCCCAATGGCTCATACAAATTGCTTCTAAACTTGCATAAAACTAGAAGAAAAGAAAACATAGACTTTATGGATTTCTTTTAAGGTCCAGTGATTTGAACCCTCTTTCTCTCTTCCCACAGCACCCCTGTGGACACTTCAGACCGCTCCATGATGCTGAAGATTGTCCACTCTGCAATCAACACCAAAGCTCTGAGCCGCTGGTCAGAACTCGCCTGCGGCATCGCGCTAGACGCTGTTAGAACAGTTGAGCTCGAGGAGAATGGGCGCAAAGAGATCGACATCAAGAAGTACGCCAAGGTGGAGAAGGTATGGCTGCCGGATGGCTTAACGAGGAATAAGTCACTTTATTATCCTTGAGGACATGTTGTAAAGCAAAAATGACATCAATTTAATTCTGGTGTCATCATCAAACCATGTTGGAAAATATAGAATGATTAAAATATTATAACTTTTACATAATTATAACCATACCCAGCTTTTATGCTCCCAAGTTTTTAATGCCCACTAACTAATCTGCTGAGGCTTATTTTAAAAGACAGAAAGTGAAATTAAAATCATGAATCTTCCTGTGGTAGATCATGTGTTTTAATTTCAGGATCAAATAGAACCAGAACAACCAAACTTGCGGGAGATAAAATGAGGCATCAACAGCAGCAATTTCCTAATGGTAAATTGGTTGGGTTTTGTGTTTATCGAAAAAAAAAAAAGGGGTGCAGATGTAGCTGCAGAGTCATATTTGTATTTTTCTAAAACGCAAAGCTGTGCAACCACCTAAAATTTAAATACAAAATTATCACTTGGCTAATATAGAGTTTGACTTTTTATTTTTACTTCTCTCTCTCTTTTTTTTTTTTAAATAATTTTTTCAGTATCTTAGCAAATTTGTTTGGATGGCATAACTTAGTCCGGTTTATTATCAGTCATGACACTTTCTTTCTTTTAATTCGTGATTTTGTTTGTTTTTAAAGGATTTTTATTTTGAGGTTACTTTTTCAGTCCTTGGTCTTTTTTTATCTGATTTTTTTTTTATGAATTCAATAAGTTGTTATATTTGGTTTGAAGAAATAAATTAGATTTTTATTTATTCCATGACTAAGCAGTTCAAACATGATTTTATTTATAACAAGGAACATTTCTGCTCCTGTCAAACTTGTGTAAAGTGTGATCAAAATGTTTTTAGTAATGTTAACAGAGGGGACGTCTACTTGTTAATTTAAAGATGTCTTTCCACTGTCGCCGCATGCTTGCTCAGAAGAGGTGATCTCTGCTCCCAGAGTTAATCGCTGCAGTCAGTTGAGCTTCTTTAGTCATATTTAACAATCGTCTGACTTTACTAATATCATTTGGATCAAGTTATACATGTATCTAATGAAAAAATGACCGTTTAGATCAGTTTGGAATGATTAGTTTGAATATTGACTTACTGTTTTCTATATTATATGAATTATTTCAAGCCTCAATTAATTTATTTTACCTTGAAAAATTCTACTAAAACTGTGGATTATTTCTCTTATTAACAGCTTGCTAACAACTTAAAATAAGAACCATTTCATAAACCGGAGGCCTTTTTTACAGTGTTTAGACCTGAACGCAGCAGAGAGGAAAGAGATGTGGACTAGGGGTGTGGGAAATAATCGTTTTGGCGATATATCGTAATATTCGGCTGCCCAATATAATATCGATCTTTCACTTCTTAGTATCGATTTAAAAAAAAAAATGGTTACATAAAACATTGATGGGAAAATGGGCTACCTCTGCACCACCACTCTGGCAGAAAGAGCTGTGGAGCCCTTTAACTGTGCGTGCAGCACCAAATCTGTATTTTAGGCAGTCACAGTGGAAGAAAACCCCAAACAACATGGATAATAATACCTAATCAATATTTTCTGATGAAAATATACAGCACTTGCTGTTTTATCTCATCATTTGATTTTGATAGCTGGGGAAAATATGGCAATATATAGTGATACTGCAATACCGTGATAATATCGTATCGTGACCCAAGTATCGCGACATGTATCGAATCGCAACACTCATGCCAATACTCACCTCTAATGTGGGCATAAAAAAACTGTATTAGTTAAACAAGTTATAATGGGTCTAAATTATTCTACTCTTATTTTGGTCCTCTTCCAGTTTTTCTTTATCTTATTGTGTCTTGGAGATATCATTGGAACCTTAAAAATGGTTGCAGGATCATTAATTAAATCTTTTTTTTTTTTCTTTTTTTTTTTCGTATTTGCTCTTGTGTGTTTAGGTTCCAGGTGGGATCATCGATGATTCCTGTGTGCTGAAGGGAGTGATGATCAACAAGGACGTCACTCACTCAAAGATGAGACGGATGATCAAAAACCCTCGCATCGTCCTGCTCGACTGCTCTCTGGAGTACAAGAAGGGGGAGAGCCAGGTACAATCGCCCCTCAATAACACAGAAAAACAGCTGGAATGAAGCTGAAACAGCATTTATCCCTGAAGAAAATAATAACAATTTGACGTACAAATCCTGAAATACACAGGGGGAAAAAAAATCTAGATTCTTCACAAGTGAAACAAAATATTGCATAATATTATTATAAGGTGAAACTCTTAGAGCAGAATGTTCGCCCCTCACATCTATTTATGTGGAAATCATGTTTGCGTTGCAGTCTAAATAAAAATGTTTGCTGTGCAAGGAAAAGTATGACTGTGGGACATCAGTGCTCATTAGGATGTAACAAGATCCAATATTATATAAAAAAAAAAACATAATAGAAATAAAGTTGATTAATTATTCTCTGAATAATGTCCGTAATTTATTGCAACCATTTAAATATTTCATTTTTTATCACCAGAAGGTTATAGAAAATATGACATTTTAAAAACACAACTTGTGTTAGATTGTTTCCTATAATACTCAGCCATACTCAGCTTTGCATTTATGCTTCCAGGTCTTTTTGATACCAGGTTTTGTTGCCCATCCATCCATCCATCCATCCATCCATCCATCCAAATAAGTTGGCATTTTACTACATGTTTGTGGTTAGATGGCTATGGATTTAATTTAGGTTGAATTATACCTTTTGTTTTCAAACTGAACACCTACAAACAAAAATAGAGCTACAAAATTCTTAGATTGAAATAAAAGTTAATCCTAGTTGTGGAAGGATGACTGATGGACATCCAGGTGTTTAAACCAAGCCTGTTGTTCTCAGATTAGTTTATGTGACGGACTTCGTTTTTGGTCCATTAACTAAAATTAAACATTAAATTGTTGCACTTTAAGGTTTGGTTTTTGTGGGAATTTTTGTTTCATGTTTGAGGAACTGAATACATATTGTTCCCTGCAGACTGACATAGAGATCACCAAGGAGGAAGACTTTGGCAAGATCCTAAAGATGGAGGAAGAGTACATTCAGCAGATCTGTGAGGACATCATCCGTATCAAACCTGATCTGGTTTTCACTGAGAAAGGCATTTCAGGTACTGAAACCTTCTGCTCCTGGAACAAGAATCTCACTTCATTATGTTTTTGTTTTTCCAGTGTTGAACAAGTTTTTAATTCTCTCTCAGATCTGGCCCAGCACTATTTGGTAAAAGCAAACATCACCGCCATTCGCCGTGTGAGGAAGACCGACAACAACCGCATCGCCAGGTGTGCTGCTTTGCCTCTGATCAGACTCTGGTAGCATCTGTAGCCGTCTCCTAATCTCAGTACTGTGTCTTTGTCAGGGCGTGTGGCGCTCACATTGTCAGCCGGACAGATGAGCTGCGTGAGCAAGATGTCGGAGTCAAGGCAGGGCTGTTCGAGGTGAAGAAGATTGGAGACGAATATTTCACCTTCATCACAGAGTGCAAAGATCCCAAAGCCTGCACCATCCTGCTGAGAGGAGCTAGCAAAGAGATCCTGGCGGTGAGGGCGCCCCCTACCTGATAAACTGGGGCATCAACCGGGGAGCTGCTGGGTCTGTAATGGCATCTTTTTTTCTGCAGGAGGTGGAGAGAAACCTGCAGGATGCCATGCAGGTGTGCCGCAATGTGCTGCTCGACCCCTTCCTGCTGCCAGGGGGTGGTGCCGTTGAGATGGCAGTGTCAAAGCGTCTGACAGAGCGATCCCGCGCTCTGACCGGTGTTGAGCAGTGGCCGTACCGCGCCGTAGCTCAGGCTCTGGAGGTTATCCCTCGAACACTGATCCAGAACTGTGGAGCTTCCACGATCCGAGTGCTGACATCACTTAGGGTAAGACGAAGACGCTCAGCAAGGTTCTAACGTCCAACCTTAAAGCTGAAACCCGGTATTTAGACCTAATCACAGCAAAGGGAGGGAAGCATTTCTCCCAAAACATGGAAACGGCTTATAAACAGTCAGAGCTTTGAACAGTTTTATTTTTAGACACAGAGTCAAACTGAGCTGAGTAGTAAACCTGTTCCTGTCAGAACCTTTCTGCTCATTGGACGACTGTGGGATTGAAGCTGCCTCTGTTTGTTTAGGCCAAACACACTCAGGAGAACAGTGCATCCTGGGGCGTAGATGGAGAAACCGGCACCCTCTCCGACATGTCTGTCCTCGGCATCTGGGATCCGCTGGCTGTGAAAGCTCAGACCTACAAGACCGCCGTGGAGGTCAGAACCACAGTCCAACGTCATTGGTGTTAATTACACACGCTGAACCTAACCAGTAACGCTCTCTCCTTTATCAAACAGACGGCCATCTTGTTGCTGCGTATCGATGACATCGTCTCTGGTCACAAGAAGAAGGAAAAAGATGAGCAGATGGGAGGACAGGGGGCTGAGTAGATCCAATTGGATCCACGTTGACCCAGAAAAGCGGAGTCGCTCCAGCTCTCTGTGTATAAGTGGGTGTGTGTGTAGGCTTTGTACGTGTGCATGTGTGGGGACCAGATGACTCACTGAAACGTAATAAAAATAACAACACTTGGAAACCTTAAAAACGTCTATGGTTGTGTTCATGCATAAGTTTTATTTTGTAAAGTTTTGTTGGGCTTCTGTTGAAGCTTGAAGTTTGTTATGAATTCAAAGTATCTGGAGAAAAACCTGATAACTTAATAAAGCTGAAGGCACTCTGTCTCTGTTAGGTCACTGTGTTAAAGTCTTATTCCCTGCAGAGCTCACTGAACTGATTTCCACTGATGACTGTCTATAGCTTCTGCCTGATTGTGGTAATTTTAAGGTCTTACAGTTGACTTTTTGTTTTTTTCCTCTTCAATTGCTAAATACTTTGAGAGATGCTAGAACTTTTGATTTTATATATCTTTTTGGTTTTTAGTTTCATTCATATATATATATATATATATATATATATATATATATATATGTATTTTATTTTTTTATTTGATAGAGGAAGACAAAATCAATCTTAAAACTTCGAGTTTTGACAGCCTGTGTTCCATCTCCAGTTTGATCTCTAGGGTAGATGAGGATTTCATTGTTTCCTTTATTTTATTCGTCAAATATCTTTCTAAGTTGAATATTTCTCTGATGTAGGCTGCATTCGTACTGAGTTGCAATCCTGTTTTGGAAGAAATCTAAAATTTTATGGTATATCAATTTCGTGGAAAACTATTTTGTGTCCCCCTCCCTTTTTTAAAGTTTGACAATGAAGGAAACAAGCCAGAATCTGAGAGCTGAGCCTCTATTGAGCAATGGAGATTGTACTTTTTATGAGAACATGAAAAACGCTGACATGAGTTTCTACGATGGAGAATCAGAAGGTTCTGAGGAGTTTCTACTCTGCATGCTATTTTCTGTGCTCAGGCATAGGTACAAGGTGCTGAATTCGTCCCAATGTTTCTTTTTAACTATTAAAATTCAATTACATTTTTTTTTTAATCAAATATAATTTAGAGTACCTGCAAACGGTAGCAATCAAAATTCATTTGAGGAAAAAGGTATCAAAGCCAGTTCTGGAAAAATCTGCAAAAAAATTGTTTACCTTTGTGGAACCATAATTTTTTATTTTTACATTTGAAAATTTCTTGAATTAGTTTTTTTTTTATATATATAAAAAAGTCACCTTAAGATAAAATCTGTTAAAAGACTCAATTAAATTACAACCTTTTAATATGAGGACTGGAAGCTAATCCATTTTTCATATCGACCATAGGGTCGATCGAATGGATTAGCTTCCAGCTGCACTTTTTCACATGTGCAGCTATCCTGTTTCCATCAATCAGATGGGCGGGGCTTCCAAAGCAGTCAGCTGACATGAGGGAAGCGGTCATGTGATTCTCGCCACACATTGGTCACAACAGAGATGGCGGCTGCAATGACAGCAGATTCTGGGAGAGTTTGGGGGATTTTACTCCTTTTTGTTTGTAGTTCGTCTCAAAGTTTATTCAACGGAGGAGATTCTTACAAAAGGGAGGTAAGAAAATACAGAGAAGCCGAATATGTTTTAAATTTAGAGTATGGACGACAGGAAGTGAAAGTGTCCAATTAAAGTGCAACACTGACTAAAATGGCTTAGGGGTTTATTAGCAAATGTTTAACAGTTCTTATGCAGAATTAATGTTTTAGTTACTGTTAAGTTCTGGTATTGGCATAGGAGTTTTTCTGACAAAAATCTATAAAAAAACAACACTCCTGTGACCTGCTAAAGATAATTCTATCAATTATAAGTCTCGTTAGCAAACATATCCAGACCCTTTCTTCCTCCAATAGTTAAACTGTGTGGAAATCCTATTTTTTTCCTCAACACAAAAGCCTTTGTGTTGATAATTTATCAGTGCTCTTTGATCAATTTTTTTCTTCTTCTATGCTTTAGCTGACAGTGAAGTTGTACCCAAACACGAGCTCACCTCCCCCTGGTGGCGAACTGTTGCATGTTCGAGCTGTGGGAGGGAACGACACCCTGCACTTCCTGTTCTGCAGCCAGGGGGCGCCAACACTGCTGGTCGTGCACACCGACTCTCCCTCCTCAATCGTTGAGGTTTGAGCGACACTTTTTGCTGAGCATGAAAAACTTCAGAAACAGCAGTTATTATTGATTATTATGCGAATTAGCTTCTTGAACAGGAATATTCTACTTTGCGTAATTTCATCAAGATGGGTTAATGTAAGAAAAAGCACAAACTGTGGATCTTATTTAGCTTATCTTTACCAACGTAATAAATACAATTTTGCAGTCAGTTATTTTTTTTCTGAAATTACACCTTTGTTGACTAAGGCCAGGTTGCACCTTTTTTTCCCCCCTAACACATTTTTTCTTCTAAATTCTCCTATGGGGAGAATGGGGCCTATTAAGTCAGCATAACTTCACATTCCTTATTTTTTAAAAAAATATAATAATATCTTTATTGGTCCTATTTAATCAAAGTTCTTAAAAAATACGATTTTGGGCTTTCAAAAGCAATAAGCTACAATCAAATTTAACAGCAATAAATGTTTGAAATCAATCCCCTTTTTTTGAAGTTAAGATGTTTAAAATATAGTTTATGTATTTACCGAAATCTAGTTTCATTTTAATGATATTATTTTATTGCTATGCAGTGTCATAGAATGCTAGAAAATATGTCAAAAATACCTTGATATTATCTCGAAGCTGCAGAAAAAAAAAATAGTTTCTTTAAGCTGATTTAAATCATTCTTTTGGATAAAAATCAGAATGAATTAGTTTTTTACATGTCATCATTAATTTTCTTTGGGTATTAGGAAACCAACTTCAAAGAATAACAGTCTTAGGTTTTTATTTATTATTTTCAGATATTATTTTAAATGTTTAATTTATTTCTCGTTTTGTGCTTTAGGTAAACTGGCCTCAGTTTGTGGCTCGTAACACCAGCGGCAGCCTGAGGGTGGAGCCACAGAGCAGCATCCTGTACAGCACAGCTGTTGTCTTCAGCCGGGTCAGGAGCCTCTGCAAGAGTCCAATCTTAACCTTGTAGCACAAACCTGTCTGTGCGTTTGCTGGAAAACAGTTTTGTTGTGTCTCTCAGTTGTTGGAGTACGATGATGAAAACAACACAGCCGAGGGAACCTCTAACTTCTTCCCTCCTTACGAGCTGCAGGACTTCAGCTGGTCTCCCATGAACCTGTCAAAACCTACAGCTGTGATCTGTGGGTCTGCCCCACATGCCATCAACGGATCTCTGTGCTTTCAGGTCGGACCTTGAGATAAATCATTTCAAACAGCAATATTATAGTAGTGCTATTATTATATTATAATATAGATATAATGTTATTCTGTTCTTTTTTAGACTCAAAATGCAAGGGCAAAATTAAGAACTCATTTATATTAAGATTTTGTGAAAACAAGGTGATAATTATCTGATACTATTTACTATCTTGTAATCGTGCATTAGTTAAGCTAAGATTAGCTAAGTAGAGAATTTAGAGAGAATTCTCATTATGAATATTCAGGTGCGTAATATTATTGCTTTGTTATATCTTTTTAGCCTAAATTAAATTTAGGAAATTGTTTATTTTTTAGCTATATCATGCTACTGTGATGAAGTTAACAGCATAGGGGAGGATTTTCCCTAATTTTTTGAAAAGACCAGTCCTCTCCAATAAAAAAAAAAATAAATAAATAAATTAAAAAAAAAGCATATGCACAACTCTGAGAGGGAATGTCTATTAAACGCATTAGAGAGCGTGCACGAGTCCCATTTCTCCTCGCGCACGTCTCTGTTTAAAAGTTGCTTTTTATATCGCTCATAACAAGCTTACTTTCCAAAAGAAGATTTGCAATTTTTCTACTATGTCAGACTCACCAAAGTAACTGAAAATGGCGACGAACACATAGGACCGCCTTAAGTAAACATATCACCAGAATAATTGACAATTAGAGGACCACTTATTTTGATGATCCACCTGGAAAACGAACATCCTCCACTATACCTTTAAACTTTGAACAAAGAAGGTCATAAGAATGATAGCTGCTGCTTACTGTTACTAAAATCTCATAATTGTGCTAAAGCAACTCATAGGATTCAAGTGATGGTATATTTAAACTATATGAAATAAATAGGATTCCATCCCATAATAATATTTGATTCAGACAAAAATCATTATTCATCTCAGGATTATGCATCTTCTACCATTGCTGCCTCTTACTTCTTCTTTTGTTATCTCATCAGTAGGGGATCATCTTTCCTTGGTATAAAATGGCTATTGCCAATTAATAAGATAACATCTTATTATTGGATGCTCCTTGCATAGTACTATAAAATAATTATGGCAAGCCACGATTATGTAATATCATTAAATTATCTCATAATTTTTCCCTTAGATATCTCATAACATAATGATAATGATTTATCTTTTTGACTTTGCCATCTCATAATCATAAGGTGACTACAAATAAAGGGTCTTTATAAACATGGCTTATAAGAATAATGACCTGATCATTCTGATGTATAATCTGATGGATTTAATTTGTCAAATTTATTATTAAAATGTTCTTTTGAGCAAGTTGATAAACCCACCTGTTCTTATGTTCCCCAGCCTTTCTCCTTACGTAAACTTGGCTATCTCACAACTTCCACGGATCTCAGATAAAATTATGCAGTAGTGTCTGATATCTAATTTCTTCTTATTAGAAAGAAGCTGGCAGTGATTTTCCATCAGGCATGAAATGAATAAACATCTTTGTTTTCCAGTTGACTGTGTTCGGCTCAGAAGGGCGACCCGAGCTTTGGCCCCGCCTTCTTCATTCTCCTAACTCCTCCCAGGTGGAGGTGTGGCTTGATGGCCTGCTGCCTCGCTCCAACACATCCAGGTTCGTGTTGGAGCTGCAGGCAGTGGGCGGAGCTTTTCCGCTGAGCAAAGTGGATGTTCGCCAGTTCATTGATGATGAATACACGCCTTCAATATTCAAGGTAATGATGAAGCAAAATGTCATAAAATCTAAAGGAACAATACAAACATTTTGTTTTTATAATGTTATTGCTTTTTTTCTTTTTTACTTAATCTTTTTCACTAGCTCTGACGCTGTTAGAGAAGTTTTACCTTTAAAGGTATCTTGGAAGATGTTCTTTTTTTCCTGGTGGAAAGTAAGCTAGTATAAGGATGCAAACAGCAACTGGGAAAGGGTCTCCTGCACTTGTTTAGCAGGCGTTCCCTTTTGGGAGCAGGTACAGGGTTGTACATGTGCATTTCTTTTTAAATTGAAGAGGGCGAGTCTTTTTAAAAATTTGCAAACATCCTCCACTTTACTTTTAACACAGGCATGTCCAAAGTCGAACCTCGAGGACCGCAGGTTTTAGAGGTTTCTCTGCTTCACCACAGCTGATTCTGATAATTGCAGTTCAGCAAAAGGCTGTTAATCAGCTGTTAATGAAAATCAGCTGTGCTGAAGCACGGTTTGCAGATGGCTGCCTTAATGAATTCTGTTTTAATGGAGATTTTCCTGTTTTAGTTGAATCAAAGTGAACCATCCCTTCTCCAGCTGCCTAACTCTGTGCTGTTTTGACCCTTCAGGTGTCTCAGTGGGTTTCCTCAGCGAACAACGGCTCAGACATCCTGGGTTTTGTCCAGTGGAAGCCTGTGGCATACCGGAGGCCCCGTCCGGCTCTAGAGGATGCGACGCCGTGCCGCCACTCCGAGCCGCAACCGTGGACCGGTAACAAGACGACGGACTCATCAGCTCTGATCAAAGCTTTTTATTCTGATCCCAGAGCTGTGGGAATGAACGTGAGCTTCGGCATCGCAGGAGAACCTTTCTACAACAGCACCATGTTCCTCAGCTGGTCGGTTCATCTCTTTGTTCTCGGCTGTTAGACGTTAGCGTTCAATCAGAAATTGTGCGTTAAATCCTCATGCCCTGTCTCCCTCAGGACGATGCTGGTGGGCGTTGGCTCTCCTCCTGTCGACTCGTTCTCTCCCTTGGTGATCGGCATCATGGCGGCAGGTTTGGGGATTCCCTTCGTCCTCCTGCTGGTCGGTGGAGTTTGCGTCTTCATAATGAAGAGGAGGGATACCTCTGATGCAGCCTACCAACCAATCAACTGACAACTCAGTCAGTGAGGAGCTGAGAAACACTTTTTATTTCAAGTGAAGTCACTGATGGCTCAGCCAATCAGGAATCAGTTTATTTTACAAAGGTAAACCTCATTTTCTCAGGTTGAAGGTTTAGTCTTTAGGTGATGGATAACTGATTAGTCATTAGATTCATTTAGAAACAAACAATCTTTTTAAATTAGAAGGATTTATAACATTTATTGTATATAAAAGAATTTCAATGTTTTTTTTAAAATGTATAAATATTTCATAGGATTTTGAGATTTTAGAGCAAATGATTTATTGTCCAGAAGGCTGCTGATTGCACAACACAGGTATTTATTTTATTTCTTTTGTTTTGTTATAAAACTAGAGGAAATGTTACATTACTAAACTCAGATAAATTTTAAGAACAGCTAAACAGTCTGTTGTTGGTTTGAGGCGGAACATCCCAGAAATTTATGTAAATATGGGACTTAAAAATATTTAACCAATCAGGATTCAGCGTGAGCTCTCAGGGTTTATTGTAAACATAACAACAAGCATGTTTTGGACTTTAACAGAATCATTTTAATCTTTTTTGTATTCACAACTTTAAACGGTTCATGCAATCTTTTTTTTTCTTTTTTCTGAGAAGCTGCTGAGCAGTATAATCTTCAAAAGATTTTACTTCAATAAAATGTTAAATGTGTTTGTCTGTTTTGGAGCATTTTTCTAAGCTGTAAAGGAGATGTGTGAGTTTGGATCATTAGGTTTATTTGGTTTTTGTAAAATTCAGGATTTATTAAAACCTGCGAAAGCTATTAGATTTTTTTTTCAGGTCTAAATAAATGTGGAAAAATGCAGTTGTTTTCACATTTATATTTTATTCACATCAACACTTGATTTTATTATTTTTTTTAAACATTCTACCCATAAATGATGGCAGTTTCTCACATACTGATTAAATGTGCACAATTAAGCATAAAAGGCAATAAAGGCTTTACTAACTGTTCCATCTCCAGGAAGACATGAAATCAGATTGAACTGTTTAATCGCTATTTTTAAGATATTTGACAATGTAAGTTCTGTTCGTTATAAACTTTGTTTAAATGATCTTCATTCAGACTCCAATTCGACTACATTTGGAGGAAGATTTTTAGATTTAGAGAAATTCCAGATGTAGAAATACAGTTGATCAGTTAGTCCAGTGAAATGGACCCGTTAGGGTAATGAATTAAAAAAAAAAAAAAAAAATAATTAAAAAATGATTGCATATAAACTTAAAAAAACTGGCATGAAGATGAATCTAAACATCCCAGCTACCATAACACAAATTGTCAATTTAGCTCTTAAAAGGCCCACAGCACAACACGTCTCCACCATGCAAAAGGGTGAATAAGTGCTATTCCACATATTCTTTCCTTTGTTCCAAAGCCATCTTTGCACCACTTTAGAAATTTGAATAAGTCATAACTCAGGATAAGTTTGGGGATAAAATAAATCCCCACATAACCAGAATTTTCCATTTCAGAAATTCAGATAGCCGTTATCCCGCAACAAATTAATCCAGCAAGGTGTCAGGATTTTGTGAAATTGTCCTAAATCTGTTGCTATTCTGATCCGAGGTCAGACACAAGACCAGCATCAAAAATGTGTTTGTGTCTTAATCCAGGAGCCTGTAGATGTTGGAGAGTAAATGCTCAACACGCTCCACACAAAAAGATGCATTCTTAATGTGGATATTTTTTTTAATGTCACTGTTTTCACCAAAAGCAATAATTAATCTCAAACTTTCAGCCACAGAAAAATCACATGGCCAAATGAGGACCAGTTCTTTCTGCTGCACATTTTTATGCTGAAGGCAAACTGCCAGAGATAAAGCATTCAATTTGCAATACAGCTCAGATGGCCACTAGACTGATCACTATTTCTGCAAAGTGTCCTCCTCCTTGGGGAGAGAGGAGGGTTTCCCTTCCTCATGTCCAGGAATCAGGGACCCCAGACTGGGGTTAAAGCCCTTATGAAATCTTTTTCTCTTCACTATTTAATAAATTAGGTTTTATTCAAAAAGATCCAAAACCTTCAGAAGGAAATCTGAATTGAGCATCATACAGATTTGAAGTGTTTCATTGTTAAAAATCCACATGATGGGTGAAAGGACAATAATCCACAGAACTGCATGTGTCATTGAAGGCAAGAATATGTATGTTGAGATTTCAAGCAACATCTACTCACAGGTTTTTGGGTTTCCAGGCAAAGTAGTGTAAAGAATTGAGCTGCTTAAGATGGCTGCACGTTGGAGTCGCTTTGCTAGCTTACCTCTGATATTCTTTTTTAAGAGAACTTGAATTCCTCCATTTTTGGATCAGTTTCTTTTTCTGATGTTTTTTTTTGCCTCCATTGATGAAAGCTGTGAAACTTGAGGCATTTTTCATGTATATCTTTGTCCTTTTTGAATACTTATGATGCACAGCAAACTTTTTTCCACACACGGGAGCAGCTTTTTAACGTCTCTAAAATAACATCTCTGAAATAATACTTAACATCTGCTAGTACTGCTGAGTTGAAAAGGAAGCGCCTGGCATGCAGGGCAGGAACTAGGAGAAGAGAGAGGAAGAAGAAATTTAAACAATTTCTTCCATCGATCATCATGCGCAATATGAGATCTTTAGGAAACAAGTTAGAAGAACTCTAAGCTCTAGCAAGGATCCAGCCAGAAAATCGACAATGCAGCATTATGTGTTTTACTGAAACAAGGCTGCAGGATCACATCTCAGACTTAAGCGTCTCTCTGCCAGGTTTTCTGATCATATGAGCAGACAGATTTAAAGAAGACTGGGAAATTCAAAGGAGGCGGGTTGGCAGTGTTGGCGAACAGCTGATGGTGTCATCAGGACACGTTACTGTGAAGATCTCTCGCTGCAGCCCAGATGTGTTCAGATCTGTTAGTAACACTTCTTTGTTTTCTCCTGTGCATTTAATACAATTCAGCCTGACTTACTTTAGAAGCTTTAGAAGACTCAGCTGGAGACATCAACAATGGCCTGGATCAAAGACTACCTGACAAAAAGACCAGTTTTTCAAACTGAAGAACAGCTGTGTAATCAAGTAGTCAGCAGCACAGGAGCAACACATGGAGCAGTACTTTCTGCATTCATTTTTACTCCATACACCTCCGACTTCCAGAACCAGACAGAGTGATGTCATCTATAGAAATACCCAGATGACTCTGCAATCATTGGGCCGATCAAAGATGGCGAAGAAGCTAAATGCAGATATCTAGTGATCATCTGATCCCAACTGTCGAGATGATTGTAGATTTAAGAAGAAATAGGAACAAGTTGAATCCTGTTAGAAGTGGAGGTGGTTAAGGAGTAGAAATACCTTAGTGTTCACTTGATCAAACTAGACTGGAGAAGCAACTGTTAAGGTGCCTACAACACTCCAAACAGGGAGGGACAGAAAAAATATCAATTTCAGCTGCATGTTTGCTTATTAAGTCATAAAAAAGTGTTCGATAAGCAGTTATTTTAATGTAGACATTTTCTGACTGGAAAAGATCAGAATCAACTCACTTTAAGTGGCTTAAAAAAATATGTGTGTCATCTATTTATACCGCATGGAAACAAGATACTGGATTAAAAATTAAGCATTCCTACTAGAAAAGGAAAATAACTTAAAAACAAAGTATGACTCTACTAATTTGATGATTAGCAGTGGTATTCTTTGTTGACCAGCTCTTCCTCCTCTATTCATAAACCCACAAAGTAGGGTGACTACAGATCTCTCCAGGCTCATGCTACCAGATTTCTCTGTTCTAGGAAGATTTTTGGAAAAAATAATAAAATATCTGAAAATACTTTTAAAACCCCCCAAATTCCATTTTTCCAGGCTGCATAATTACCTTCAGAATGACTTTAATGCTAAATGAATCCGTTCACTCAGTTTTAAGTTTCTCTTTAGTTTATTTCATCAGAAACTTTAGAGAGAAACAAAAGGTCCAACATAAACCTACTATTTACAACCAAAACATAAGAACGAGGCTGAAACACTCTGAAACAGGAGCATAAAATCAAAACAATTGCTCTGGGTTTTTTTTGTTTTTTTATACGTATTTTAAAGCACCAGCCAATAAGATCAGAAATGTGAATCAATCGGGGAAAGAATGGGTAGATATTATCTGTTCGATCCTTTTCAGATCAGTTGTTAACGCCTAAATTCTCCACAGCAGGGCTCCATCACATCCTGCAAGTCCAGATTAGACATTATCAGACCCCCAGTTTATTTCAAACTATAAAAACGCCAAAGTTAACCATGAAATTTAGGAAAATATTTCCATAGTGGGCAAGCAGGACAGAAGATAAAGACATGTGAATAAAGAGGGATGCAAAAGAGGAATGAAAGGAATAAAAATAGGGGGGCAGAATGGATGAGGAAGGAAGGAAGGAAGGAAGACAAAAAGAGAGACATGAGAGAATAAAGAAACAATGAAGAACAGATCCAAGGAGAGGTAAAAAAGGAAGGACAGATAAAGATTTAGAAGGGAATATAAACATTTTCTTTAATTCCTCTGCTTTTGAAGCCTTGAAAATACTGACACCAAATTCCAGACTTTCCCAGGCAGCGTAGGAACCCTGCTATACGGCTCAGAACTGAGATCCAGTCATATCATCCAACACGGATGTAAAGCAAATCCAGACCACACCATGGATCCAAAGTATAAATCACCAACAGGAAGTGAAGCTGAATGACTTCAGAAGCAGCTGCTGCATTCTCCTGTTGTGATGTCATTTCCAGAGTCCATTTTTGGAAAACGCCGTGTGACTTTAGAGGCGTCAGTCAGTTTATGACATCAAGAGAAAATTTTCAGCCGCTGCTTCTGAAGTTAGTCAGTTTCACTTCTTTTTAGTTTGATCCTCACTCGCTTCAAGTTCTGTCTTTATTCTCAGGTCCAGAACTTCTCCTTCCTGATTTCTGTATAAACTCTGTACACTAAAATATATAATCTACAGTTTGCATTGTGTGTCAGGACATTTCATCATCCTGCTTTTAGTTTTTTCTCCAGTTTTAAAAGAGAAACGATGGCTGGTGAAGAGGAAAAACTTCACAGACTTAGAGCAGCTCCACAGAAAACGTCCAACAGCTCGGTTCCTCTGCCGCTTCGTCTTTAGTCCCGACTGATCTGGCAAAACCTTCCAATGCGGGTCAGTTTTAAAATACTGCCACAGGATTTTAAAAGCCCAACAAGCTCTTCTTCTTAGATGGATTCGATCTGCCTGCGGACCTTTTCAGATGCAAGGCGATCCAGCCAGCGCTGACGGATGACCACCAGAACAGCGAAGATAACCGTCAGCGCCAACGTGGCGGCCTCAAACTTCCAGAAGAGGTGTTCCTCCATCAGGGCAGAACGACAGCTGAAAGGAAAAGGACAGATCGAATGCATGGTGTCCAAACATAGGGAGATCCCAGAATCCCCAGCCTTTACCTAAAAAACTAAATATTGACATTTAACCAAATTTATGGTGCATATTTCTACAGAGGCCATGATTTTATTATGGGGCCTGTCTGAAAACAGGAAAACGAAGGAAGGACGTGAAGAAAAAAGGACGGTGATAAGGGACAGAATAAGTAATTTTCAGTCTCCAGGAAGTCTTCACCTCTTATACTCCTCTCTGCTGGTCTTGGTGCAGTTCACCCTCTCCACATATCCCGTCTGTGTGCAGGCTGACTGCGTCTTCTAAAAAAAACACACACAATCGAGACATTATCAATGTCAGCAGTGATTCTCCCCATCAGCTCATTATCTTAGATATGGTTCCTGCATGGATCCATGTTCAGAAGTCGTGTTTCTGTACAAAAACTAAAGCCTGACCTCCTTGGGAGACAGATTCTCCCAAAAAGTTTACTGACTGAAAACACATAAAAAAAATACTTCAATTAAAATAGAAAATAATCAATTATTTCCACTTCTTCCAAAATAATCTAATTTGAATACGCAGAACATAAGTGGCAGTGATGTTTTTCTCTGTGCTCCATTCGGTAAGAAAATTGATCATCCCAGCATGTTGAAGGACTATAGATTTTAGTAACAACATGATAGAAAACGTTTAAAAACGTGACACCTGGGAGAAAATTGTTTTATTTGGAAACTGAAAACTTGTTTTCCCATTTCACCATTATGTAACTGCATTCCTGATAAAGGGTCCCCTGTAACAGATTATTAATATTTAATGCTACAAGGACTCAAAGATGTAGAACAAATGGTGTAATACCAATGTCAGCTGCTAAAAACTAATTATATTAGTATTTGAAATTCAATCTAGAATTTAAAGATTAAAGATAAAATACTGAATAAAAGTAAAACTCTTCAAGCCTCACTATCTTAAAGAGGGGGTGAAAATTGATTTTTAAATAAAGTCTTTCTGTGGATAAAAAACAAGCTAAACACACTTACAGCGTTGAAGTCGCTGCAGCGATTACATTCCTCCAGAACCACAAAGTTCTCCAACAGCCAGCAGGGGGTGACAGCAGGCTTCACTGCAGACACAGAAGAAGAGGCTGTCAGATACACCACACCTGGAAAGGTTAAAGCTAATGAGGGCGGCGAGTTAGAAGCAGCTAAGACGTACCTGTTGTCTTCTCCTCACTCAGCAGAGCTGCTCCAAACACTCTGAAAAACAAATCAAAAACCATTAACTATCCAAAATAAATAATAAAAAAAAAAACTTGGCAAAGTTTCGTCTCCATCAGCTCCATCTGCTATCAAGTTTCAGAGGCTTTTAAAAACATGACTGTAAAAATTAGCATAATTTCCAGGCTGTTAATTCTGGAAAAGGACAGAGTTCTAAAAACTTTTTAAACATGGATCCAAAGAGCAACAACCATATAGAATGGAAGCAAACAAGGAAAGGTATGGATTCACCGATGGATTGCACAAACAAACAAAAGATAGAAATATTTCATTTTTTTACATTTATTCAAAATAAATAAATAAATAAATAAACTACTTTTCTAGCTTTTGGGCCAGTCTGGGAGAAAAAAAAATCAATTAACAGAGTTTTAGCTGTATATGAACTAAAATAATAATAATCTGATTCAGTGAAACCAAAGCAACCTCTTGTTTCAGGTCAGAAACTGACCTGAGCGAGACCAGACCCCAGAACAGAGCTTGGAGGAGGAGGACTCGAGGTCGACAGCAAGCGACTGGGATCCGACAGTCGCTCTCCATCAGTCTTCCTCTCCAGCTGGAAGGCGACAGCACAGCCACTCTGTCTCTCTGCTACTGGTTACTGACCAGTAACCCACTGGTTCTGCAGCAGGCACAGGCTTACTCTAGGATGACTTTGCCGTCTGTGCTGCTTACATCGTACTCCGATAAAAGTGAGTGAATTAAGGCGACAGACTGCTGAGACCTGAGAGATGAAAAAAAGAAAAACTTTCAGTATAATTTGGAGCAACTTTGGGTATGAGTCACTGAAAAGTAATGTTTAAAACTAAACCAACTGAAAAAAAACTCTAAAACCCTACTAACCCTGAAAACTTAATTGCACTGTCACTGTTTTTATGGAATCTTTTATGTTTTTTTTAAACAGCCTTCACTCTTTTCTGACCAAAATCTAGCATCACCTCAGTTATACTCGTGTATAATAGGAAAACTTTGCAAGCCCATCTATTTTTTCGAGTTGCTATCATATATAATATTCATATATGCAACTTATCCAAGTTCTTGTCAAACATTAAACCCATCCACTGTTTGTAAACAAAGAGGGCTGCACTCAGTCTGGTAATGGAAGTATATCAGCTTAGAGATGTCCCGATCCAGGTTTTTGCACTTCCGATCCGATACCGATATTGTTTTTGGACTTCCGATCCGATACCGATAT